CATTCATGGTCATGCGCGTCAGGCAAATAAAACTCTTGTTCCAGTGATCGCATCTTCTTCTTCTGAACTGCTTCTTGGAACTCGCATCTTCTCTACTATTGTCGTTTCTGGCCGCTTATTAATACTCTATGCATTTTGCAACATGCCTCGTATAGGAAGCATGCTGTGAAATGCATAAAGAGTGTACTCATTTCGAAATCTTATGAACCCCCTATGGTGACTTCTTAGTAGTGGATATATATACAAGATGTCCCAAAAATGTATACAAATTTTAAATAGCTGTAAACTTGGTGTTTATTATTAGTTTACGATTTTAAAAATGAAAACATATTAAAATTATCATTTGATTATTTTTTTCACTGCATTTGGACTACTGCAACAGTGGCTAAATTGAGAGAAGCCATTGAACACGAATGCATCCGAATACCAAGGGAATTGTTTCATTGGTGTGATTCCCTTGCTTCGCGTTGTCTGCAACGTCATAATCAAAATGGACGCCAGTTTGAGAACATTCAGTGAAAAAACAATAACGTGATGCTTATAAATGTTGACATTTTTGAAGTAGTAAAATTATGTTAAACACAAATTTTATAATTATGTAAAATGTGTACACATTTTTGGGACAATCTGAATATATAATTTTCCAGTCTCCCCCTTCTTTGTCGCTAATGTCCTTCTGCCTATATAATATTTTCCACGTGGAAACTGTGCAGTTTTCAGGTTAAAAACTCCAAAAGAGTGCAACGAAAGCTGGAGTTCAAACTTATTCAACCATTGAGAAAATGGTTTCTAAACTGACATTTACACTTCGGTCGAATATAAATATTGAAGAAAATGCGATTTCCTATGCATAATTTATTTGAAAATCCCATCTTGATAATCTTTCATTGCAGATAACGTATTTTGTAAATTCACTTAATATTTCGATAAATATACAAATGCTGGTCGAGTGTAACTGTTCTCATGGACTTTATAAGGGTTTCAAATGGTGTGCTTGTCCAGCCAATTTAACTAGTGTCCAGTGTGAACTTTTAAATAATTAACTATCTAAGTAACTAATTTAATGCGATTATCCAGCTTCACTATTTGCATATTTTTTTCCAAAAATTGACAAACGAAATATAAAAAACGGTTTTGCTTCCGCGCAAAAGAGTGTTTAGTTGTCGTCCGCTAAATTTGAGTCGCTACTATATCAGAAAACAGTTAGAGAGAATACAAGGATATCGGACTTGTCATCTCCAAGTTACTTTTTATCACCAGACCGTGTTCTT